GTGGTGGTGGTGGTGGTGGTGGGTGTAGTGGTCGTGGTGGTGGGATGGCAGCAGCGAGTGGCAGATAGTAGCAAAGAGTAAGCAAGTTCAACTGTTCTGAAGAATGCGGCCCGAGGCTGGATATCTGCGCTTCGGCCGGTTGGTTCAGGGGGACGTCCTGCAGAGGCCAGGGGCCCAGCTTGCAGCCAGATGCACATTGAGTTCCCCGACACAGGCTCGCTTCATGGAGCCGTTCTTATCCGAGTGATGTGCTCTTCGCACTCATTTTGCATGTTGTTGAGGTTTCTACACCTAAAGCCCTTGCCATCCTCAGACGCCCAGAGACCCAACGCCTGCTCCCAGCTGGCACGGCGCGACGGGCCCCGGCGCGATCGTCCTGCGGGCAGCACGCAGTGCCACTGCCTCGTCTCTTTGTGATGTCTGAAGATTTGGTTTCCATACATGTGCAGAAGTACATAGAGAATCCGCGGTTGAACTGCTGGTGACCACTGTGATCGTACACAGAGAGGGGCTTAAACATGACCGCAGCAGATGGATGTCTTTTTCGGTACACCCGATGTGCAGGTAGTTGGAAAACACCTTCATTACAGTTATGTCCAAAACACATACCGTGTCGTGGTGCGCTTCAGGATATGACAGGGTGGTTTCTGCACGAGTGCGATGTCTGCGAGTCCGTCGTTTCTCATTGAAGGCAGCGCTCAGTAAATGTACATGCGGCGCGCAATTCGTTCAATGGATGCTCACCCAAACAGGTACCGCAGCTCTGAATGCTGAGTAGTGCTGCTAATCTTGCTGCTCGACTCATACGACCCCCGTTTTGATTCTAGGTGCGAGTGCCTACTATTGTGCTGCTTATGACCGGGTAGTGCCAATGAATGCCGCACGAACACAACCCCTTTCAATTTGTAGATCAAAATCCCTCAATGGCGAACAGTGGTGGAGAAACCCTAAGCCCTAAAGCGTCATAGGAGATCTGGAGCTAAAGCCCGAGATCGGAGCCATCTCCAGCTATTTAGACCTTAAGCCTAGGCGAGGCCTCGAAGCCCATCAACTCTATAAAACCTGATCCGAAAAACCTTAAAAGGGTTTAGGGTTTACCCCAAGCACTTTTGATTCTTCTAGTTCCTCAAGCGTACTCCCAAGCCTTAAACCCTAAACCCTAAGTCTTGCTCCCATGACCGAGGCCTATGCCGTCGTGCCGCGACCTTAGCCCCGTACCCACTTGCGACACCGGACGTGGGTCAGAGGTGTGGGTCTGGTTGCTGGTTATCATTAGCTATCTGGGTGGTTGTCAAAATTATGGTCCCTTTTTGGGTCCTTATTATAATACGGCACCTATTATTTAGGGTACCCCAAAAGGGACCATAATTTTGACAACTACCCATCTATTCTGGGCTACCCCGCTACAACAGTGGCGACAGACAGCTGGGGATGTTCGATTATGCAGTCATGTCCAAGCTCAGCAACGTCTTAGGGGCACTTAGAAATATTTTTTAATCTTTGGTTACTATAAACCCTAAGCTAAAATTATTATTTTTTGCCAGGGGTCTAAGTTCAGTATAGACGTGCGGTTAAGTCAAGGGTCATTTCTGGTTGCCGCGGGTTTCAGAAAATGGGATACTCTGGTGTAGACCCAAACAGCAGAGCCCTTGCTGCACCAGAAACTCTCAGGTATTTTCGAAGGGACAAGCAAGAATAAAGCTGAAACCCTAATCCCTAAACCCTAAACCCCTAAACCCTAAACCCTAACAGGTTTCAACAGACTCCGAGACTCCGAAGGGAGGACTCCCACGACTGGTTCAGGTTCATGCTTTAGTGTTCTGGGTTTAGTGTTTACGATCCGGGGTGTAATATAGAGGCCTTGAAAATAATCAGAATAGGGTTTTGGGGTATATTCTACTACAATGGTAAGAAGGAGCCCCCAAAACTCGATTCTAATTATGAAGGCCCCTACATGGTCTAGGGTCTTGAGTTGATGTTCCCGGAATCCTGTAAGCCCAGTGTAACCCCCCACCTGACAGGAAAGCAGACTATAGGCCGGCAAGGCGAAAGAACAGAAGCCCTAAACGCTCAGGGCTACTCTAGTGGCCTAACTATTTACCAAGACCCCTTCTTAGCAATGATAAAATAAAAAGGCCCCAAACTGTGTTCTAGCTATTACGGCCCATACATTAGCCCTGATATCCGATACCAGTACAACGTGACAGCAACCCTAGAGAAATCCTATGGAGCGCTGCGCATGGAGACGTACAAAACCCAGCCAGCACCCGTCGAATCTTCGAAGGCTCGTTGGTGGTGTGGCATTAGCATCGAAGCCCTGCCACTCTGGCATCGAGAATTACCGTTACTGTTAATGTGCCTGCTATAGTATATGATGGTTATCGTATAATCTAGTATATCATAGTATGCTATGGTATATAGTATAGTATACTGTACTAGATATTGTAGCATAATATATCTCCGTTTGTTTGCTTCAGTGGTGAGCTTGTGTTGTGTAGCTAAGCCCTAGGCCTACTTAGGCGTACTTCAGGATTCAGTTGACACAGCAAGTAGGTGATAGTTAAAGTACCAATGGGTACCCGAAGTGGGCTTAACTTCCTTCTTCGAACAAGTTTGCTGAGCACCCTAAGCCCGCGTAGCAAAGCTCTTATCAGAGCTGGAGCTCGCCTTGCAGCAAGTCTAAGGCATAGGTTAGGGCGACGAGGACTACCATTACCACCGCTCGATTGCCAAGATGATGGTGACGACACTCCGACACACTACGGCGACTGATGCTAAAACATCCACTGGCACGCTTGACAGAAACGGTAACATGAGCAATCTTCATTGTATTCTAAACCCTAAACCCTAAACTCTAAAGCCCTAAACTCAGAAACGTCTGCTTCACCATCACCATCAAAAAAGTCATCATCAGTCTCATGGCAAGGCTCACCTACATCCTAAGCAAATCATTACCACTACTATTTAGGGTTTTGGGTTTAGGGTTTAGGGTTTAGGGTTTAGGGGGCTACTTATGATCATCATAGTAGAAGGGGCGCCAAAACCCTATTTCAAGTATTAAGGCCCCTTATATTACATGTGGCTGCAGCTGCGAGTGCGAAGGTCTCGCCACGTTCAACGAGCTTGCAGGCAATAGGAGAAGTATGCAAGGCCTGCCTTCCTTATAGAGGCTTTGTTGAGGGGTTTTGGGGTTTGGGGTTTAGGGTCTAGGGTCTAGGGTCTAGGGTTTAGGGTTTAGGGATTTAGGGTTTAGGGTTCCTTATAGAGGCCTTTTGGGGGGGATTTAGGGTTTAGGGTTCCTTATAGAGGCTTGTTTGGGGGGATTTGGGGTTTAGGGTTTAGGGTTCCTTATAGAGGCTTTTTGGGGGGATTTGGGGGTTTAGGGTTTAGGCTTTTTTGGGGGATTTGGGGTTTAGGGTTTAGGGTTCCTTGGCGAGCTTTGTTGGTGAGATTTGGGCATACAGCTCTATAGGGCTTATAATGGTAGTTCTCTAAACCCGGGTCCCTTTTTAGGTCCCCCATACAGTACGGCACTCGTATAAACGGACCCCGAAGAGGACCCTAAAATAGAGAGCTACCCATATGAGGATTCCAGAAGGGGTTTGGGGTTGAGGGCCGTTTATTGTAGGGGCCTAAATAATTACCTATACTTTTTTTTTGGAGTGGGAGGTCCTTATTGTAGTTATTGTATAATATACCCCAAAACCTTATTCTAACTATCAAGGCCCCTATGTTTGGGTTTTGAGGTTTAGAGCCGTGCCGGATCTGGAGTTGACTGCCTGGGCTCTGTTGAGACTCAGAGTACTAGGACTACAGGGTTTCGGGTTTCGGGTTTAGGGTTTAGGGTTTAGGGATGGTTTAGGGGACAGCAGACCACAAAAAGTTGGAACCGGTTTTTTGGACAAGTACGTAAGAGTTGGAAACCAACCGGGTTAAGGACAATTACGTAGCGCTGGGATTCCCTGTACATTACTCTTAAGGGTTGAGGCGATTGGATTTCCAAATTTTGGGCTTCTACTTTTGGAGCCCGGGAGGAAAATACAGAAGGCTCCGGGAGAGGAAGCGGCCACATCCATAAGTTTCTAGGAGCAGGTACAATTCGAGGCCTGAAGAGTTCGAATGGGCAAAAATATACCGAATTGGATCGGTAGTATAGTGACCAGGAGATTGTATTGATGATTATGGAGACCCCAAACGTCCTGATCTGCACACGGACATGCCCATTCTGGTGTCGGGTGCAGGGCAGCGAGCTACGCCACAGCATCGCGGCGCTGCAGTGCTGCCCCGGGCTGAGACTACCCCTATACCCGAAACCCTAAACCC